ACAAACCGTTTAAAATTTCTTTTAATGAGGGAACGAGGGAATCTTGGTGTCCCTAACACATGCTACGGTGCAATGGTCAGTTTGTACACAGTTCAGATCTGGTTTTACTTCTTCAAGAGCTTTAAGGATCCTTTCTTCTTCCTGCTAAAATAATGTAAAAAAAAAAAAAAAAAGTGTCAAAATTGCGCAAACGTGCGCCTTGCGGTCGCGAGAGTTTTTTTGACATACATCAGCATGCCATCAGAACAAGGCAGACCGTTCTCGGACACATTTCTAACCGGCATCTCGCTGTGATCACCGGTGATCGGTTCTGTGCAGATTTTGCCAACGCTATCTCACGACCAATTCGTACGAATTTGTACGAATGATTAAAAGGTGGCTAATTCGTACGAATTCATACAAACTCACTCGTACGGATTCGTACGATTTGTCTAAACCCACGTGATGGGTAGGTTTAGGGGCGGGGTCAGGGGTAGGTCATTCGTATGAATTCATACGAATTTGGAATTCGTAAAATATGTACGATTTAGCAAAAATCCTACAAATTCGTACAAATTCATACGAGTCAGGTCGTATGAATTGTTACGAATTAGCCACTCGTACAAATTAGTACGAATTGGTCGTGAGATCGGGTTGGATTTTGCTTATCTCAAACAAGCCTCTTGTTAGAGTTAATTAGATAATTAAGAAATTAATTGCGCACATGTCGGATTCTGCAGTCGCGCGCAGTTGCTCTCCACCGACTGATCAAAAGCATGATGGGAAACGACTTGCTGACGACACAGCTTAATGCTCATTGGTTTAAACAACCGTGATGTATTGTTTCTCTTTTAATTTTTTTTATTTTAAAACTCTGATATCATGTTTTATGTGGCTGATACGTACCACGTGAAGCAAGACTCTGTCACTGTTAGGCTTTTACTATAGGGACTGTGTGGTGGCTGCTTCGTTGAGATAGGTCCGACTGCAGAACCGCAGAACCATACGTCATAACAGTGTGAGGACGACAGCGCCAGCCTAACAGTCTGATGCCGGAAGTGGGCGTGGCCAGGCATTGCGCTACTTCTGTGTTTTAGAACGTTTCAAAGTTTAAAACAACATTAATTAAATCGTTAAAAAAATATTTATAATAAAGATATATTTAAGATGTATATATATATATAAATAGTTGTATATATATACACTCACCTAAAGGATTATTTGGAACACCATACTACTGTGTTTCACCCCCTTTCGCCTTCAGAACTGCCTTAATTCTACGTGGCATTGATTCAACAAGGTGCTGAAAGCATTCTTTAGAAATGTTGGCCCATATTGATAGGATAGCATCTTGCAGTTGATGGAGATTTGTGGGATGCACATCCAGGGCACTAAGCTCCCGTTCCACCACATCCCAAAGATGCTCTATTGGGTTGAGATCTGGTGACTGTGGGGGCCATTTTAGTACAGTGAACTCATTGTCATGTTCAAGAAACCAATTTGAAATGATTCGAGCTTTGTGACATGGAGCATTATCCTGCTGGAAGTAGCCATCAGAGGATGGGTACATGGTGGCCATAAAGGGATGGACATGGTCAGAAACAATGCTCAGGTAGGCCGTGACATTTAAACGATGCCCAATTGGCACTAAGGGGCTTAAAGTGTGCCAAGAAAACATCCCCCACACCATTACACCACCACCACCAGCCTGCACAGTGGTAACAAGGCATGATGGATCCATGTTCTCATTCTGTTTACGCCAAATTCTGACTCTACCATCTGAATGTCTCAACAGAAATCGAGACTCATCAGACCAGGCAACATTTTTCCAGTCTTCAACCGTTAAATTTTGGTGAGCTCTTGCAAATTGTAGCCTCTTTTTCCTATTTGTAGTGGAGATGAGTGGTACCCGGTGGAGTCTTCTGCTGTTATAGCTCATCCGCCTCAAGGTTGTGCGTGTTGTGGCTTCACAAATGCTTTGCTGCATACCTCGGTTGTAACGAGTGGTTATTTCAGTCAAAGTTGCTCTTCTATCAGCTTGAATCAGTCGGCCCATTCTCCTCTGACCTCTAGCATCAACAAGGCATTTTCGCCCACAGGACGAGATAGGTCCAACTGCAGAACCGCAGAACCATACGTCATAGCAGTGTGAGGATGACAGCGCCAGCCTAACAGTCTGATGCCGGAAGTGGGCGTGGCCAGACACTGCGCTACTTCTGTGTTTTAGAACGTTTCAAAGTTTAAAACAATGCTATTATAAAGACTTTTTTAAACGATTTAATTAAAGATATGTTTAAAATGTGTGTGTGTATATATATATATATATATATATATATATATAGTTGTGTGTATATATAGCTATAGCCTATATACAGGTGAAACTCGAAAAATTAGAATATTGTGCAAAAGTTCATGTAATTCAGTAATTCAAATTAAAAGGTGAAACTAGTATATTTAGTATATATAACTATATACATATGCATGATTATACTTTTCAGAGGGCCGACATTTCTGTATTTAAAATCCTTTTTTTGTATTGATTTCATGTAGGCTAATATTCTAATTTTCTGAGATTTTACATTTGGGGTTTTCATAATCTGTAAGCCATAATCATCAAAATTATAACTTTTGCACGATATTCTAATTTTTCGAGTTTCACCTGTATGTATATATATATATATATATATATATATATATATATATAATGATTATTTGTCCTATTAACAAAAGACAATATACTACTATTAAAAATGCTTTTCAATTCAATCAAATGTTCAAGCTTTGTTTTCATTTTATTATTATTTTTGTTTAAAGCTTTGTTCAATTTATATTGTTAATCATTTGACACAACAAATGGATAAAGTATAATTTTAACTTTTAAAAAACTATTAACGTTTGTTAATACTCAACCATTTCACATCTAAAAAAAATTTTTTCATAGACCAAACACAACATAATTCTATGGTGGACTGAAACAAAAACTATTAATTAAATAAATAAATAAATTTTCCTCTGAAATGGCAAAAGCATCACACACAGATGTACCTGCTCTAAATAAATAATAGTAATTAAATAAAAATACAAAATTGAACTAAATGAACTAAATTATAAAAAACAAAATCAAACCAAAGAAAATAAATCTTATAAAAGCGAGTGTCATGACGAAAGGCGCCTCAGGAATCGTCAGGATTAACTTCATGTGTTTGGAGTTTTGATTTATTTAGTTTATTTGTCACTTGATAATTATTGTTAAATGTGTGCCTGCATAACTTTAATAAGATTTATTTTATTTGGTTTGATTTTGTTTTATATAATTTATTTATTTTATTTATTTTGATTTTATATTTTGATTTAATTACTATTATTTATTTGGAGCAGGTACAGCTAGTGTGTGATGCTTTTGCTATTTCAGAGGGGGGGGAAACACGTTTTATTTAAAAAATGCTTTTCAATTAAATCAAATGTTCAAATGCTCAAGCTTTGTTTTTGTTTTACTATTTTGTTTGTTTTAAGCTTTGTTCAATTTATATTGTTAATCATTTGACACAAAACAGATGCATAAAGTATCATTTTAACTTTAAAAAAACTATTAACATTTGTTAATAGTAGGCTACATTGCCTGTCTTTTGTTAATAGGACAAAACATAGTTATTATATTTTATAATATTTGATATATGTATATATATATATATATATATTAGGTCTATCTCTTAAATATATTTTTAATGAAATCGTTAAAAAATAATTCATAATAGCATTGTTTTAAACTTTGAAACGTTCTAAAACACAGAAGTAGCGCAGTGTCTGGCCACGCCCACTTCCGGCATCAGACTGTTAGGCTGGCACTGTCATCCTCACACTGCTATGACGTATGGTTCTGCGGTTCTGCAGTTGGTTACTATTGCACAGGACTGCCGCATACTGGATGTTTTTCCCTTTTCACACCATTCTTTGCAAACCCTATAAATGGTTGTGCGTGAAAATCCCAGTAACTGAGCAGATTGTGAAATACTCAGACCGGCCCGTCTGGCACCAACAACCATGCCACGCTCAAAATTGCTTAAATCACCTTTCTTTCCCATTCTGACATTCAGTTTGGAGTTCAGGAGATTGTCTTGACCAGGACCACACCCCTAAATGCATTGAAGCAACTGCCATGTGATTGGTTGATTAGATAATTGCATTAATGAGAAATTGAACAGGTGTTCCTAATAATCCTTTAGGTGAGTGTATATAGGCTATACAGGTGAAACTCGAAAAGTTTGAATATTGTGCAAAAGTTCATGTATTTCAGTAATTCAAATTAAAGGTGAAACTAATATATTTAGTATATATTACTAGATATAAATATGCATGATTATACTTTTCAGAGGGCCGACATTTCTGTATTTAAAATCCTTTTTTGTATTGATTTCATGTAATATTCTAATTTTCTGAGATTTTGAATTTGGGGTTTTCATAAGCTGTAAGCCATAATCATCACAATGTGCAGTGTACAGTATTCAGTGTGTACAGTATAGTGAACAAGTGTTCCACTGTTAACAGTCATGCATACATAAAAACAGATGCCAGATGACCACTGAATGGATATTTTTTAAGTCAGTTATATGTTATTGTCATTTTGACAATATTTGATTTGATGCCAGAGGAAGAATGTGCTCCTGAATTAGCTCGCTCATCATATTCAAAACACAGTCGCTGGTCGCCATCTGCTGGTGTAAGTATATCATTTACATGAAGAATACACTTTTACATTTTCCTCTTTTTAAGTTTTAAATGACTATGTCATTTTCAATATTACTGTATTTTATTGGCATGATGTTGCCAAACCACCAATACACACAATAAAAGCAGTGACAGAAACAAAAAAAAATGATGGTAAAAAATAATTATGCTAACAATACAAATAAATCAAGCATCAATCATCACTGTCTAAGGCCCAATGGCTCTTGTGGATGAATATGTGATCCAACTGTTACGTCCCAGGTCTAGGGTCCAAGAGAATAACATAAATAAAGTCTTTACACCAGGGGCCTGTTTCAGAAAGGAGGTTAAGTGAAAACTCTGAGTAGGTTAACCCTGAAATGAGGGAAACTCTGGGTTTTCCGTTTCAGAATGGGAGGTATATCAAACCCGAGAAAGCAGAGTAAGTACCCCCCCCCCCCCCCCCCCCCCCCCCCCAAAGTACTTAAGTAAAATTTTATCAAAGTAATAGTATTTTTACTTTAGTAAAATATGTTATAACTCTTTCCACCTCTGGTAGTTCTAAACAAATTCTACAGAATTAAACTGTGGCATTACACACTGAAGTGTGTCCCTACTCCCTACTATTTATGAAGTTTAGGCCTATTTGTCATAATTTCTGGGTTATTGAGCAGCTACTTACAACTGCCTGGGGTTCTGTTGGGACAGGAGGATCCAAAAGACAGATATTACCATCAATTGGGACCAACGAAAAACCCAACCCAAAGTAAAATAAATGGAAATATCAAATATACCCTATATAAAAAATAACACATATGTAGACCTCTTTCATTTTACGAAGGCCCTTGGATCTTCGGGAGTGACTGGCTCTGATGAAGGAATTCCCTCAGCCAGAAATGATGTTGCACTGACACTGGATGCTATTTAGTTATTTAATATGTCAAATGTTTGTACAGTCAGGTACCCACTAAACACAATGATGTCCAAAAGACGTCTTTTCAACGTCTTTGTCACAAAAGTCGGACGTTGAAAAGACGTCCACTGAGGAGCCAGAATGAAAGTTTTTATGACGTCTTTTTTTGACGGTTTCTGAACGTCCGATATAGACGTTCATGGACCCTCTTCCTACAAGGTTAAAAACTTGTTCAAATGTGGCCATTGTGGACATATTTTTTACATAATTTATGGTCTCATTTAGACATAATTACTTTGACTATTGCTGTCAGATGATATTAGTGAGAATTAGCAGAGGTTTAGATGTTGATATTTGTTTCATTTGAAGTGTCACCATTGTGGTGATCAGTGTTTGCTTTAGTTGGGCTCTTGGTCCCCTTTATTTTTACTTTAACTTTTCTTTGGCTGCTGTAACTGTATGTTTGTTAAACACACTGTAATTTGCAACTGATGTTGCAAAGAAAGCCAAGAATAAGTAACACCAGGTGAATGAGAGCATAAATGATGTAAAAAAATATGTCCACAATGGCCACATTTGAACTAGTTTTTAACCTTGTACGAAGAGGGTCCATGAACGTCTATATCGGACGTGCAGAACACGTCAAAAAAAGACGTCATAAAAACTTTCATTCTGGCTCTTCAGTGAACGTCTTTTCAACGTCCGACTTTTGTGACAAAGACGTTGAAAAGACGTCTTTTGGACATCATTGTGTTTAGTGGGTAGCCTACACCCATGATATGCTCAAGCCTTACCTGATTGAATTATGTTTATATATTTTATTTTCAGCTGCTGCCACATTCTTTTAATGCCTGCAGGATTGCACCTAGCCTATAACATACTGTTCTTCCAGTTTCACCTCTGATATTATAACAGTTGGGTAAGTTACTCTAAAATAGTTATAAATTACTAACTACAAATGGCATCTTCAACAGTGTAATTAGATTAATGTAGCCTAATAATTACTATCTTTAGAAAGTATTGGTCTACTTATTACTAATTACTAAATCCTATATCAACCTGAACCACTTGAACAATACAAGGAGAGACAAGAAACTGCACTTTTAATGCTTTTAAATTAATATACATTTGCATGAATTATTCTTGAATTGACCAAAGTGTGTAGAGGGAGAAGGTTACATTAAAAATATACCTTTTAAAAATGTATGTTAAATCCACTATTGTTTTATACTGAATTGTATAGTCTACAGTAGCCTATTTAATGTAATTATATAAGATTTTATTTTAAATTACAGAAGAATTAAGAGTAATCCCTTTAAATAAATTACAATATTTAGATTACTTGGTAATTAATTACACCCAACACCTCTTTTTGTTTGGCGCTGTTGCCATGGTGACTCGTAATATCTGCGCTCCATTGATAATGGCTTTTTATAGTTGTGGTGCACGCGCTTAACTCAAGAGTCAGTCAACTTAGGCCCTGTCCCAAATGGCACACTTCATGTGCACTTTCGGTCTTGTGGACTTACAATGGCTGCCGCCTGCGCGTGTCCGTTAAGTCCGTGAGACCGCAGTGTGTCCACCACCACCCCCCCCCCCCCCGCGGTCGATTTGCGCCCTTATAACATTTAAACAAAACTATACTAAACTGACTTTCTAGTCAAAACAAGAGAAAACGTATGTTCACAACAAAGAAAAAGTGGCACCCCAACCCCTACGGCTTTTGTGCTGAAGCGCAGTGACATTTACAATAATTTTAATTGTAAAACAATGATTGTTTTTATTCCTAGAAGGCAGCAGATTTATTTAAAATGTTTAGTAAATATAAAGTTTAGTAAATATAATTAAATATTTACACCAGCATTACATTTTTAGGTATTTAGTGGATCATAGTTGCTGAGCTTTTTCACTTTTAGTTTGGCCTGTGTGTTTGTGATCATTATTCATTTGAATGTCAACCCTTTCATTAGACCCATCTCCTGCCATACATGTCAGTTTCACCCTACTTAAAAGTTTACAAATCCTACGATCTAATGAATTCAACCTTTCCGCTGCAGCATTAAAAATACTCCGGAATTTCATATAGACAAATTCTTTAGCTCTCTTCGATGCTTTCTTATTCCAGCTTTCCTTTGTTTTCTCCTCAGGTTTATCATCTCCATCATTCTCTTTGGGTCTCTCTTCCTCTCTCGGTCCCCTCTCTTCTTCCTCTCTTCTGAATCTCTCAGCATCTTTAAACATCTGGTTACTGTAGTGTCCTCCATTCTGCTCTATCATTGTGTCAATCTTCTTCAGTAGATCATTCACCTGCTTTATTTTTTCCGTGTCTTTATTGTTCATGATGTGAAATCTTCCTCCACACTGTTGAACAAACTGGCTAAGAGTTTCATTCTCTCTGATGAGATCTTCCACACTCTTTTCCTCTAACAGATCACTGTGGGTGAATACAGGGATTGTGTACTTTGCTACTTCTTTTCCATAAATTATTTCAATATTTTTAATGTCATTTTCATCTTCATGTTTCATTCTCCCTGTAAGTGACACCACATACAAGAATGCATGTGGACCTGGACTGCAGAGGGCAACACTATTCGCCATTTCTTGTGCTAAATCTTCAGGGTTTGAAGTTAGATCTGAAAATCCAGGAGTATCAACAGCAGACACTTCTCTCCCTGAAACTACTGATCTGTTAACCTCACACTGTTGTGTTACAGAGCTAAAGCAGTGCTCAGATTTAAACAGATGTTTTCTCAGTATGGTGTTCCCTGTTGCACTCTTTCCAGAGCCCGTCTTCCCCAGAAGAAGTAATCTTCTCTCATTAGTGCTGGTTTCATGCTCCGCTGGTGACTGTCTCTCCAGGACAGTGTCAATCACTGAAGCTGTTCCACATAGAAAAAGAAGAAAGAAAATAGTCATGATAAAATTAAATATATAGTTATTGCTCTCATATTGGACTTAGTGAATACATACGTAACAAAAGTAAACTATTGATTATAGTGTTTAATTAATATTGGCTCTAGTACTACTTACATCTCTGAGGTTGAACATTTCTAATGGCTCCAATCAACGTGTTCACTACGGCAGGATCTTCTGTGACGTTATTAAAGACAAAATATCTGTTATCAAACTTCTGGACAAGTTTTTTCAGATCCTCTGACTCTCCTATTAAATCCTCTATGGTACAACCTCCTCTCTCCAGATCATCTCCCCTGGTGAAAATGATCCAGGTGCTCTTTATGAGCCAGTCCGGTAAATAATCCTCAATCATCTCAACAGTGCACTTCTCTTCTTCAGTGAATCTGCCGGGTCTGATGACCAGCAGAATCACCAGAGGGTCCGGTCTAGCTCTATCTAATTCTGGAAGCCCTTGATACATCTCTTCAGGGCTCAGTTTATTTTCAGGGTCAAAGAATCCTGGTGTGTCATAAACAGTGATATTCAGCCCATCTTTGGTAACGCTTTCACTTTGAACCTCTTTTGTTACAGTTTTGAAACTTAGCTTTGAAACGAAAGCTTTTCTTCCCAAGATGGTGTTTGCTGTAGCACTTTTCCCGCCTCCTGTTTTTCCCAGTAAGACAACATGATAATGCTGAGCAGGCGATGAGTTCTCTTCACTCCCATCCATAGTTGATATATTTCAAAATGATGATGTGGGTGTCAGTCCTTAAATTACAGACATCACATTGAAGCATTTATGTTTTCTGTGTATAAAATTAAGCATTTTTAAAAATATTCTTTTAAATATAAATTTAGTCAAAATATTACCCGTATGGGTTACACTTTATTTTGATGATCCCTTTAATACATTCTGTAATTTTGTACCTACATAGTCTATTAGGGTTAAGTTGACATGTAATTTCAAAGTTACTTATAGTCAGTAGAATGTCTGTTGGAGAACCATCACAATAAAGAGTTTGCCGATATTAAGCAAACACTAATACTCTGATGAGAGTTAGTTGACATAGTTTCAAAGTTAGAATGTTCAAAAGGGACAATCAAAATAAAGTGTTACCCTAGTATGTTTTTGACTGATTAATTAGCACTGTTGAAAACATTTAGAATGGATCAGTGCTCAGGAGATTATAATAATTAACAAAATACTTCATAAAGCCAGTACAATTAGCACATATCTCACTAAAAGTATTTTCTATTTTGTTAATAACGGCACGAGGCATTGAAATGCTTATCATTGTTTTACATACTAGCCTACACTCTTTTTAAATACTCAGTACATGCTGCAGTAGGCAACTCAATTCCAAACATATTCAAAACAGGCAACCCTTTAGTAATGTCTTCTTTCTAATCGCATGCGGTAGCTGCTAGCTGGTGCAGAGAAACATTTAAGAATAAAAAAATGGAAAAAAAGCGGCACCATTTTGTTTCTCCCATTTTACTGCAGGGATTTTTTTTTTTAAAGAAACAAGTAAAAAACATATTTGGTTCATGTCTACAGAGAAAATATATGCTGTTGTATGTTGTGTAGTGTTTGTATTGTTCAGCAAAATACTATTCAACCTGTTGTCAAAAGCGTCTTGGTTCATGAATTGCAGTGGTGGAATGTAACGAAGTACAAATACTTCGTTACTTTACTTAAGTAAATTTTTCACGTATCTGTACTTTACTTAAGTAGAATCAATAGTGCATACTTTTTACTTTTACTTCGTAACATTTTGCAGCAATTATTATACTTTCTACTCCACTACATTTCTACAACGTTCTGTTACATTTTCGTTAAATTTTCTGATCAGTTTTTCCCCTGCCAAAACTTCATCCTGACCGTCCGTTCATCGCACGTTTGTCTCACCAGTGAAGTTTGGTTGCCATAGATATAACCCGGTCACACTAAATGCGTCTCTATAGCACGCAGTGTGTTTATCGTGCAATTTATACGCGAAAATGTGTTTTTACATGCATAGGAAACGCATTGGTAGGTTTAGTAGTGATGTGGGGTGCGTGTGTATTATACGTTTGGTTAGGATTAGTATGGCAAGCCAAGAGGTTCAGAATTACGCCATAAATGAATCGCGTTTACAGCCAAACGCCGTCATATACGACGTTTTAACATAATATGAGTGTTTATATATATATATATATTTATATATATATATATATATATATATATATATATATATATATATATATATATATATACATACCGTATATAGTAAGGGTATATAGTAAGCTTGATGTGTATATTGCCTAATTGCAAGCTTGTTCAGAAATGGTGACAAAAACTTAAAATGTAACTGCTTTTCCATCATATTGAACATCATTATATGATTATTAGGTTGAATGAGTTAGAATTAACTGTTTTATTAATCATTAGAATATAGACATTAAGAGAATAAATTGTTATGCAAGTACTTTTACTTTTAATACTTAAAGTACATTTAAAATCAGGTACTTTTTACTTAAGTAGGGTTGTCATTGTGGTACTTCTACTTTTACTAAAGTAAATATGTCTCTGGTTATTTGTACTTTTACTTAAGTACTGAGATTCAGTACTTCCTCCACCACTGATGAATTGTCACCATTCAATAATAGGCCTATTTTTATTAGAACTGTCACATCTGAACTTATTAAGTGTTCAAAATGAAAATATATTACAGATATAAATAATTTTTGCCCATATACTAAAATGTCTTATATCTTGCAGTGGTCTGCATAAAGCTGCCAGGCCTAGTTTTTTTCTTTTGTCTTTTTCTTTCGAAGACTGCTTAATTTAACACAATAAACTTACCTTAAATAACGTGCAGATTATTGCGCATAGGTCTCTTAATTAGTTGACCAAAAGCTGACTTATTTTACAGACGTATGTTCCTGAGATTAGTTTCATTTTTACGAGTCTCCTGCTTGTTGTCGCTCCTTATCTCCCATCTGTGTGTAATCGGATCCTGCTGTGACATGTTCATGATGTTTAAACCCCAGAGGCGGTCTTAATTCTCACTGTATGAGATATATCCATCTGCAGACCCGCAGCACCACCAGTTTTAGAACCCCAGCGCCAGAACGGGGCGGAGTTATTGAAGACGTAAATCTTGTGACGGTGTTATGTGTTACTTACTGTATGTGTTTGTTCCACGTTCCTCTGTTATATGCATCGTTTGTGAGTATATATTATATATTGTGAGCAATGTTAGTATATTTTAAATATATAACTATATCATGCATGAATCATGATTATAGGCTACTTTTCAGAGGGCCGACATTTCTATATTTAAAATCCTTTTGATTGCATGTAATATTCTAATTTTCTCAGATTTTGAATTCGGGGTTTTCATAAACTGTAAGCCATAATCATCATTATAACTTTTGCACGATATTTCACCTGTATACATTTTTATTGTTTCTTTTAAAATGCTGAATTTTCTCTCTCTTTTATAGATTTTTGACATGTTTTATTTTACATAAAGAAAAATGCATGCTGCACATGTTCTTGTGAAATCAAGTAGGCTATATTTTAAATAAAATGCCCATAAGTTTCAAGCATTATTTTTCACCATCATGATCAGGAAGTAACTCTCATAATACAATGAAACGGATAACTATATACAATTATATTACACAGGATCAATGTTTTAAAATGCTTATTGTACTGTACCTTAATATATCATTATAACATTAATATTGGCCTATCATTTAATATATCATTATAACATACATATAACATACAAGATTTATATTTTTATATTTATTCATACTATTCAAAATACTGTAAATATGTTCATAATCTGTAAATGTTTATTCTGACTAAACCCAACTGTGGCCTTATATTTTATAGTATTTTCATATTTTTTATAATTTTATCTTTATAATTTGTATTACTGTTTCTTGTTGTATTTGTATCTGTTAATGTGCACTGGAAGCTTCAGTACCAAAGAAAATTCCTTGTGTGTGCAAGCACTGGACTTGGCAATAAAGCTCTTTCTGATTCTGATATAAAGTATGACGTTTCGTGTGTAATAAAAGCATGCCGTTTCGTGAAAGCAAATTACGCTTCAAAACGTTAGGTGCCGCTACTCGGTTTAGAACGTAAGCTCCGCCCCTCACTTTCGGTTCTGGCGCTGCATGGTGTTCCGAAACTGGTGGTGCTGCGGGTCTGCAGCTGGATACTATTGGACTGTATGAGTAAGTTAGTCACACTTTAGACTTACATGCTTCTTTATTCTTCTTTAATAGACGCAAAAGGGATATGACAATTTATTGTTATTTGTTATGTCACGGCCGGCTCGCAAGCCGCAACAAAGAAGGAGACAACACGTTGGATAATGCTCAAAAAGAATAACATTTATTTAAGTAAGAATAATTAAATGAGACGAGACGCAAAACAAGGCAAAGCAACAATCGGATCCAAGACACAAACGGCACGAGAATGGTGAGAGCGCGCTCCGTCACAGCTGAAGGGAACTGCTTTATTTGCCGGCATCAGTTCCAACACAGGTGTAACTCCTTAATCAATAATGACGTCACTCACTCTAACTCCATCCTGCAAACCAAACAAAAAGAAACACACACAAACCACAAATATAACCCATACTGGGTTCATAACAGTTATAAGAATACATAACTGAAATTATACAACTTTGATTTTACATTTGCACAATCTAAAATTTCAGTCGTCATTTCCCGGTCACGTGGTCTTCGCTCACAGTCGAGAGATTCGCCATTACAGAGAAAGGCCCAGTCCCAATACTCACTTGAGCCCTATTGAGAGTGAGGAGTCACGTGCCGATTTGGGCGGGGTCTGAGCCGGTCGGCCATGATGGTAGGAGACGCTATCGGTTGCCAGGGGCAACGCCTTCAGAACTTCACTGAGGCCCGACTAAACATTCATCCAGAAATAGCGAAAGAGAGACAGCGCAGCTTAGTATTTGTTTACATTTTACCGATACGCCGCAGTTTCTTTGGAAATTATTGAGAAGGAAGAGAAATGAAAGGGGTTCTATCGGGAGAGAGTAAATAACAATGCTAGCCAGCTTAGAGAAACTGCTTGTCAATAAACTGACAGCAGCAAAAGCGAGCAAAGCCTGCTTTCAAAAGCAACACATTTCAGCACAGTTCGCCTTTTATTTAACACAAACGAACGAATTTAATACTCTGTTATTCAACTAGAGTTGTTTCATTTGTTATAGATATATCTGTACCGTGAAATGTTTAAAAAATACACTTTTTTTAATGACGTACGATTCGCATTGACAGTGGAATGTCCGATCTGTTCGCTTAACGTTGCACGGCAGGTGCAAATGCACGTATCTGATTCATATCAGATTTATTTCCACATATGAATGAGGCCTGAATGAAACATCAAGTATGACTGAACTCTCGCAGTTTAACGTTACAGGTTTGGGGGTTTCTAAGTCTTGCACCCGCAGCCGCAACAGACTTGTTCAGCTTCTAATCCTCTTGCATTGTGTAGGCAGTAACGTTAGTCACTGATACCATAAACAAACCAGGTAATTAACTTTGTCAGCGTATGTAAAAGGTGGTAGTGCTTTGGTCTTTCGTCCATTCTGTAGCAGGTCGAACGGGTCCATGTTGATGTCAAGTAGTTTCTCTAAATAACGCTGCTTTGTGTTGTTATTTAGTCTCTCCCGATAGAGCGCCTTTCCTTTTGCTTCCCCCTTCTTCATTTATTCCCAAGAAACTGTGCC